GTTCATGAACGGCCTCCTTGGCCGTAACAGGGCAGGCAGTGAGTTCAAAGGGTGCCGCCACTTCTGGAGATTCTGCTGCTGAAGCCGCCACCTCTGGAGGTTCTGCAGTGGATGCCTCTGGGGCAGAGTCATGGTCAGGAGAGGCCTCTGGGGCAGACTCGTGGACAGGAGAGGCCTCTTGGGTCTGAGAGCAGTGTGTTGCCCAGACACACAAAATGGCGACTGCCATCACATGCAGCGGAGTAGATAGAGGAACAGCCTCTGTGACAGCCAGTGCTGAAGCCCTGGGGTTGCCAGCTGCTCGCACTGACATCAGAGGTGGGTCCATCATACTGGCAATCATTCTCGTGAGTCCTAGACCAAGCTCCGCATCCGCAGGAGTTTGGGTACTATAGGCCCCTCAAAAATAATTCCCAGGGGAAACTTCCATTGCAGCCGTAATGTGGTGAGGCTCTAGACTGGCGTGGTAGCCATCTTGGCCGGGGACTCAGGTGTGGTGGCCATCTTGGCCGGGGACTCAGGCGTGGCTTGAGCATACTGGATCCATGGTTGGTCTGGTGTTTGATAAAGCTGCTGGATCTGTGGTGGGCGAAGTCTTCTGTAATGGACTGGGCGTGACAAAAGAGATCCAATTGCAAGCTTTATTAAAAGCGTGGTCGAGACAGGCAACGTCAAACACCAGCAAACAATTATATCCAGGGCAAGGCAAAAGAGTAATCCGAAACAGGCAAAGGTCAGGGCAGGCAGCAAACAATCGTAAAAACAAGGAAACAGTCCAAGGTCCAAAAACAGGCAAGGCAAGGCAAGACAAAAACATGGAAACACTCAGAAGTGTCCGCTAACAGCTGAACAAGACTTCGCCCTGTGAGTGGGTGGGTGTGCAGCTTAAATAGTCCTCCTGATTGGAACCAGGTGTGTATGTAATCAGTTCCTAGGCGTGCGGGGTTATGGGAAATGGAGTCCGTGAAAGTGGCAAAGGTCCAGGATGGAGTGCCCTCTAGAGAAGCTCATGGGCACTCCAGCTGGAGACCGTGACAGTAACTTAGTGCAAATAGTTTTCATAACATTATATGCATTAGATAGCAATGGATTAGTTCTCCCAAAAAAGAAAATTTGCTGGCAGTTTTTGAATACTGCTGAGGTTTGGACTCTCATTCTGATGGCATCTATTCACTGCAGAGGATCCATTGGTGAGGAAGTGATGTAATGCAAAAGTCCTCCAAATCTGGTCCAATGAAAAAAACGAACTCATCAATATCTTGAATGGCCTGAGGGTGAGTGAATTTTCAGCAGATTTTCAGTTTTTAATGAACCATTCCTTTAAGCAGTTCATTACACTTCCTTACACATAAAATTAACTCATTAGTTCTGAGAATGATTTTTCTCTTTCTCTCTTTAATCAGCATTTTGAATGATTAACAAGCCTGTGGAATAAAACATTTTGAAAAAAAAGTAACTTTTTTTTTCATGAAAAAGGCATTACATAAAATCATTCATTTATAAAAATGAGATCTCAATTACATGGAAATATATCAAACAGACACACTGAAACTTGCTCCTGCGCTGATATCTTTGCACCTGTTCTGGTGACAGACGCACATGGAGATAAGTAGATATTTATTTGTTCATGGGAAGGAGTCGCCGATCTGATAACCCTCTTCTGATCTTTGCAGCAGTGTTAATGCCGTCTTGAAATTCCTTACTTTCTTTCATCTTTTAGTCATCACGAATTTAGGTGAAGAGAAAGTGTTCTTTTGTATCCACTTTTAAACCTCAGCTAAACCAGTTATTTAAATCAAAGATGTATTGTTTTAAATCCTTGAATGCTGTGCAACACCGTGGTTAAGCATTAACACAAACAATGGTATAAAACAGCTAATCATTTCAGGAATACATACACTTTGCAGTTTCTGTTTTTAATGAGCCCAAACTGTGACATACTTCCTCTTTTACGAATAAACAGCAAATGGTTTGTTGCCAGGGATTTTTTAAGGCTTATCTTAGTTAAACAATACATTTCAATAAAAGGAGTGGTCCAGTTTTTCCAAGGAACTTTCAAGTTATTGTTCCAGAACTAACTTGACATTTAATAAGCTGTTGGGAGTTTCTCATAAAACCCGAACTAATAAAAACTAATGAAATTTTCATAAAGCAACAGCATTACTAAAGTCCAAGAAGATCACACTGAATATTCAGATTCATGGTCAAATGAGTTTCTCAGTAGTCTTGGTCTCCCTCCCATCTTGGCCTTATGGTTACATTCTTGATTTTAAACACCTTCTCTGGCAATATGGGTTGATACATCTCTCAATGACAGTTTGTCAAATTAAGGTCAAATTATTGAAGTATTTTCTGACTTATGCAGCAAGTGTGGGCTTGTGCTACTAACAATGTATGCAAGATGAAAAGATATGATTAATTGTAACACCAAAGTCACTGTTCGTAGACCTATATATATATATATATATATATATATATATGTGTGTGTGTGTGTGTGTGTGTGTGTGTGTGGTCAGGGATATCACAAAGATCATTGATACTCATCCATCTTATTCCACTATCTTTATCAGACACTTCTAAACTTCTAGGGAATTTTTGACAGTAAAAAGTATAAGAAAAAGACCATCTGTCCCGCATCATTATGGAAAGCCTATCAGGGCTTAAATCTTGAAGTATTAGGAATGCGTTCACACAATAGATGAGAGATTAGGTTCACTGGTAAAATGATAGAAAGCAGGCAAAGCACAAAACCATTTAATGCAACATTGATTTGTAGACCATGTTATGCATCAACGTTGTTACTATCATTAATAAAGTGCATAAATCAAATGATTTAGTCGACTGAAATCAGTCATAATGATCCTTTCAACTCTTCAAGAAAAAGTAAAATGTTTGTCATTAGAGGCTTAAAATGTCAACTCTAATGCCATGGTTTTGAATAGTAACAAAAATGTAGTTGAAAAGTAGATTAAAAAGAATACATATCAAATTCTCTTTCTAAAGACCTTGCCTTGTGACCTTAAACTCAAGGCTAATATGTAACTAAGATATAAAACTGGCAACAGTGTCATCATTTATATTGGTTAAGATTAAGGAAGCCCAGTGGAATTTATTAACACTGAATGTATCTGTCTGGATAGTTTTATTTGATGTCAGAGATTTCTAGATCATGATTGGAAACAAAAAGACAAATGTGACGATAACTGTGAGACGTCGATTATGCTGTGGCGCGTGCAGTGTAGTGCAGCACTGCCACCTAGTGTTAATACAGCGAAACACAGCGGGGGTCATGCTCATAAGATTTATTTTGTTTGTTTGTTTATATGTTTATTTTTGTAAAATTGTATTTTGTGCTATCATCCACACATGCAAAGTTGGTTGATAACATAGCTGCAATAAAGTAATAGTGTAGTTAACAATTATTTGTTTACATAGGATATATAATGTAGCCTATTTTATATTATTTAGGCACTTATAGGCTATAGTTTGACAGAATGTTTTCATTCAACATGCCATGGGAAGTCAATTTAACTTAACATGTCTTAACAAGTCTAACTTAACATGTTCTTGTATTGATATTGTTTATTTCTCACTCCTTAACAGTTCATCAGGCTCTAAATGATTCAATCTATGCCATCTCTTGGAATATCTGAAGGCCAGGTTTTTCCATCACTCATCATTAGAACCCATTTACACATGGCTCTTGATTCTGACTTGCACTCGGCTCTTATGAAAATGTACACTCTCAGAAAAAAAGGTACAAAAGCTGTCATTAAAAGATCTGCGCGTCAGTCACATTGTGCTGATAACTGCTCCACTCGGTTGGTAGTAGGCTACGTGAGGAAGTCTCGACTTTAAATAATTAATTAATAGCCTGATTTTAGGTTTCCATTAAGCATGGTATAAATCAGGGATCCTCAAATCTGGCCACGAGATCCACTTTCCTGCAGAGTTTAGCTCTAACCCTAATCAAACACACCCGAGCATGCTAACCAATGTCTTCAGGATCATTAGAAAATCATAGGTAGGGGAGTTTGATCAGGGTTGAACTTGGAGCTAAACTCTGCAGCGCATTGGCCCTCCAGGGCAAGATTTGAGGAACCCTGGTATAAATATTAGCATAATTACCATATTTTGCATGTCATTGGCCACCTACCGTCTGAAATATGCAGTAGCCATTATGGTTTTCTGGTGTTGCTTGTTACTAACAGGACCAACTTGAATTGAATTAGGCTATTTGAAGGCTTATTTATTTATTTATCTATCTATTCCTATTTAAATTGTATTTATTATTTATAATTTAAATTGTGTGATGGTGTTAAACTCTTATTGTGACACATGCAGGAAAACAAACAAAACGTATAAATAATACGAAAAGAATCACTTGTACGTTAGCTTGTTCGTATTGAACTCTTTGATCACAGTAGCTAGGCTGCTAGATTTATTGTAACAGTATCGCAGGGACTGACTGCTAAAAAGTCAAGGGAATGTTTTTTGAGAGCGTGTGTGTTTGTGTGTCATCGGTAGATGTCAGTATGACCTCAGTTTAATAATGGCGCGCGAGAGGGCGACAGTGGCGAGAGATAATAACCTACCAGTCAAAATATTTCCTAAACAATTGCTTAATTCAGTTTGTCAATACTTGTATGATTTTCTCTACTTTATTAAGGATTCGTTTTGTTTATTCAAACCGTATTGTTTTAATATTAGCTTATTCTGCAGCCTATTCTGGAGAACGAAAGAAATTATTACACGGTGTAGCTAATTAAGCCTCAGAATAAATCCATTCAATAGGCCTATATATAAAACAGGCCTGTATATGATAATAACTTGTATTGCTATAGTTACAATAAAGTGGAGACTTTCCAATAGATGTTCTGTATTATAGTTTCACAACAATAATTGCAGTAGCCTAGTGTGATATTTTAGAGGGAAATTAACATTGTAATTTTTATTAAGATTGTGTATTTTTATTTTATGTTATTGTTAGACGGGATAAAAGAGCACGTCTTGGATGAACAGCTTTGCTCCACGTGGGTTCACTGTTCTCGCATGTTAAAACTCAGGTGAGTTCTGCCGGATAGGCTAATGTGCTGTGACTGTCCCGCCTCCTCAAATCAGGTAATGAAAACAAACCGACGCTGACACGACACACCTGTTGAATGAGGATTAGCAGGTAAGCAGCCCATTCCTCGACCATTGTGCGTTTGTTATCATAACAGTCTGAACGCGTGGCACTTTATAGTTAGCTTTAAAACCGGACATCAGGATGGTGAGCAGTCAAGTAAAGGTCACAGGGCGCCATAAGCCACCTAAAGACACCAAACACAGCGACTATTCCTGTGGCGGGTCACCGCTGCCAGCAGAACCTCCTTCAGATGCAAATATACCGAATCTACCGATACCGACCCAGAAAGCGTCAGGGGGCAGTAAAGCCAAGAACAGCTGCCAAACAGGTGGGTACAAAATATCTCCAAAACACTGTCCAGGAGAAGATTAATCACTGGGATATCCCTACTAGGGGGGAAATAGTTTAAGCCAGACTGAGTTGGTGTGCTGGTTTTAGCTGGTTTAATATGGTTTTATCTGGTTTAGGATTGTCTCTATGCCGGGCCAAGCTAGTGTTAAACTGGTTTGTCTGTACCAAAACCATTCTAAAAGCAGACCAACAGCTAAAACCATCAATCCGTCTTAGATGGTTTAAGATGTCACCATATTTTGATAGTCTGTATACAATATTTTTCATAGTTTTATACACATGCATACATACGCTGCTGTTCAAAAGTTTGGGATCAGTAAGATTTTTAATGTGTTTTAAAGAAGTCTCTTCTGTTCATCACAGCGGCATTTATTTGACCAAAAATACAGAAAAAACAGTAATATTGTAAAATATTATTATAATTTAAAATAATGTTTTTCTGTTCTAATATAATTTATTTCTGTGATGCAAAGCTGAATTTTCAGCATCATTACTCCAGTCTTTAGTAATCCTTCAGAAATCATTCTAATATACTGATTTATTATCAATGTTGGAAACAGTTTTGCAGTTTTTTTTTTTGGAACCCGTGATACTTTTTCAGGATTATTTGATGAATATAGTTAAAAAGAACAGCGTTTATTTAAAATAGAAATCTTTTCTAACAATTAAAAAAGTCTTTATCACTTTTTATCAATTGAACGCATCCTTCCTGAATAAAAGCATTAATTTCTTTAAAAAAAAAAAAAAAGAAAGAAAAAAATTACTAACCCCAAACTTTTGAACGGTAGTGTATATTGTTACAAAAGATTTCTATTTTGAATAAATGCTGTTTTTTTTTAACGTTTTATTCATCAAAGAATCCTGAAAAAAGTATCACAGGTTCCAAAAAAATATATAAAGCAGCAAAACTGTTTCCAATGTTGATATTAAATCAGCATATTAGAATGATTTCTGAAGGATCATGTGACACTAAAGACTGGAGTAATGATGCTGAAAATTCAGTTTTGATCACAGCAATAAATTATATTTTAAAGTATATTAAAATAGAAAACCATTATTTTAAATTGCAATAATATTTCACAATATTACTGGTTTTATTCTGTATTTCTGATCAAATAAATGCAGCCATGATGAACAGAAGAGACTTCTTTAAAAAAAAACATTAAAAATCTTACTGATCCTAAGATTTTGAACGGCAGTATATATATATATATATATTATTATTATTATTATTATTATTATTATTTTATTTTTTTTTTTAATAAATGTAAATTTGACCAAATTGTTGGCTGAGAGTTTGATGTTGATTCCTAAGCTGGTCTTCTGAACTACAGGTAGAATTTCACCTTATGCTGTTATTTTCATAAAAGCAAGCCTAAAATCTGGAGTCATTATGGAAGTGATGACCTGTACCAGTGTGTTTACTGTATTGATTTAGCATGAGCATAAATATGATCAATTCTACTTTAAATTAATTACTGGCTGAAATTTGATTGGCGTTTGCATGCTGTTCGATCACGTTACATGTATCCCGTTGCAGTATGTCATTGAACACATTAAAAGGTTTATATTTTCATTGTGTAGTATTGAAGGATGCAGTCTCGTAGTTAGCCTGCTGCAACACTAATAGGACTGTGTTCCTTTAGGACCAAAAAAACACAAGTCCACTTCTGAAGAGAAATACCTCGGAGTCCGAGTGAGAATGCCAGTACGGGACATGCTCAAAAATATACGGATAGCCAAGGGGATTGACCCTAAAGATCTGCAGGTATGATTCTTTGTCTTACAGACTTTTACGGTCATATTAAGGCAGGCACATCATGTTCTGACTCTGTTGTTTTTTTGTTTTTAGGGAAAACATTCTAAGGCATCTAAAGGTAAGGTTAAGAGATATAAAATATCAGCATAATCATTGTAACCTCATTGTGTTTCTAATTAGCACTGTTTTTGGTCCAAAGGGGATAAGAAACGAGTTAACACGGGTGGAAACCGGAGACGTTTTCTGGTGAGTGACATCTTTTTCTGCCATTGCAGAGCTAGCTCCTTGTTTGGTAACTTCTTTGGTATTAGAAAGACAGGTTGTGACACATTTCTCATGTCTGTTACAGAAACATCAAACAAAAAGTCTTGAGGAGCTTGCGATTATAGTAGAAGTGTTGGAGGAGGATCTTAAGACCTGTCAGTCATACAGATTGCCAAACAAAAGCCCTTCAGCTTCATACTCTTCAGAGTTCTGGGTTGAAGATGCATCTCCACAGGGTTTCATGAACACAAATGGCCAGGCGAATGAGATACCTTTGTCTCCAAGCTACTCAGTACCGTCTGAGACCTCCCCTGTCCACTCTGTGTCCAGCTCCTACCCATTCCCAACTTACAGCCAGGGTGCCGATGTTTTCTTGGGGAATCAGGAAGAATATAGCAGTTATGAGTCAGATAACTACAGGTATGATGGTCTATATGGAACGAGCTGCTCTCCTGCCAACTCCTGTGAATACCAGGTGCCCTCCCCACAAGAGTCATTCAACGCCAGTCCCAACCTAGAAGTCTGGGAGGTTTCCTCTCAAAAGATGAACTGTCCACAATGGCCACATTCTCAGCACGAGGAATGGAGTGGTATGACCTTCTTTTTGACTCAACTGGAAAGAGAGGAGAATCTGCTGCAAGGGATATCTGACCAAGAGCTTCTTGCAGTAGACGAAAATGGAAGGATGTAAGATTATTTTACTTTACTTCAAGAACTCACTGAAGCCATTGCAGATGGTTTCTTCATGCAGATCCTAATGAGTAATCTTTCAAAGGCAGCCGTAATTTTTAAAAATGAAGAAAATGCACACAGTTTCTGAAAATAATCTTCAAGTACCAAGAATTGCAAGGGTACTTTTGCAGTGCCACCTTTATCATTTGAAACTTTTTATGAAATACAGAAAGAATGAAAGTGGGTCTGCCATCGTTGCAGTCGCACTCAATAAGCGGCTGCATTAGTTTTCCACTCCCAACTTTGACAAACCCCATTATTAAGTTCTCAAGCAGAGCAGAATAAAAGAGATTAGTGGGAACCCGGTTGAAATCTGAAGCAACAAAAATGGCACAGAGGGTCTTCAAACAAGCCCTCTTGCATGAAATTACTTGAACAATGGATACTGATAATGGCCGCACGCACAAACCTAACAAACATCCTGAAAGACTACACCAGTTGAAATGGCAATGTTGTCAAACACATTAAAAGACAAGCAGGGTTTACCTTTCAGTGGATTAGACCTATAGTACTCCACCCATTGAACACAGCTGTTTACAATTAGTGAAGCTATGACATTGAAAAGTGAACAAATCATGTGATGGAAAGTGACTGCTTTCATTTTCTCTCCACAGTCTTTTACACAGAGTTGTTGAGGAGGGAAAGAGATCCCTTGTGTATGTTATTGCCAGAAGGATGGCGGCTCTGAAGAAACTAGATATCAGAGATTCAGAGGGAAAGGTGACAAACTACATGCATATTCTCTGAGTGTCAGTCACTCGACAAACACGCATAAATGTTGCATGGGCCTGGTTTTCTTCCCAGACTCCCCTTCATCTTGCTGCACAGAAGAATCAACACTTCATGGTGGTTGATTTGGTGTCACTTGGTGCAAATATCAATGGGAAGGACCGATATGGGAAAACATGTCTTCATCTCAGTGCAGAGAATGGATATATTCGAGTCCTGGAGGTAACATATTTATGTGGTACTGGAGTATTAGCATACAGAACCCTCTTCTACTCGTTCACTCATACAGTAAATATCTTTTTTTGTTGTTTTTTTTGGCAGGTCCTGAAATGTTTAATGAGAAACGGTGTATATATTAATTTGGAGGAAAGAGATGCAAATGGTACTGTATGTTCAGTTTAGTTCACTTTATGCTAATAATTTAAATGTGCATTGTGTAACCAGTTATTGCTTTGTTAATTTCTGTAAAAATCAGCTGGGTTGTTTTTATATTGTTCTCAAGTTGCCATTTTTGTGGCTGCATTCCTGCTGCCTACACCTGAAAAGAATCCAGCTGTGCTAGTCACACACTTTTTGTTTTATTACCTTGTTGTGAAAGAGCTGTCACATTTGACCATGTTTTGTAATCAGAATTTGCATTACAAAGGAGAGACTTCGAAGTGATGTGGTTTAATGGTTTGAGATTTGAGATTCAAGATTTGAGCTAGTAGTTGAAATTTTGTTGGCAGAGTATACATTTTGTGCCAATGAATTAAGAATGAAATATTTTGGTAACACTTTACAATGTTCCATTAGTTAACATTAGTTAATGCATGAACTAACATTAACAATGAGCAATGCATTTGTCACAGTATTTATTTATTCATTCATCTTTGTTAACGTTAGTTAATAATATACAACTGTTCATTGTTAGTTCATGTTAGCTCAGGTCCGTTAAATAATATTAACAGATACAACTTAGTAATGTATTAGTAAATGCTAATTTTAAGTAACACTAAGATTAGTAAGTGCTTTACTTAAGTATTTATCATTGTTAGTATATTTAACTGTTAACAAATGGAGATTTATTGTGCTACCATTATGTCTTGCCAACCAGGAAACTGTTTGCATTCCTTACACCATACCTATTAGCATTCATACACTCATTTTGATAGCTTAACGCAAATAATAGGGGTCAATGATGACACTTTTTGTCTAATAATTCATTCAGAAATGCATGAAAAAGCAATTCATACATACAGTGGCTTGAACACACCCCTTCTATTATAAGGATGTTTGTAATTTCTGAATTAATATTCATTTTGATATTTTTTTGGAAGCATAAAGTCCAAAATGTCAGGGTGATGCAACTATATATATATATATATATATATATATTACACATATACATACTTACAACTATGTATGTCAGATGAAAAACCGCGATAGCCAGTACTTTGAATTTATTTAAATTATGCAACATTTGTGCTCCTTTTGGACCCTGGCTTAATCCATAAGCTTTCACATTCAACTTGCTTTTGATCAAAGCATCTGCCAAATGGCTAATTAGACGTGTATTTCTACCCTGTGTATAGAACATGGATTCATGGTATTTTCTTTGCAGGGCTCAGCGCGCTGCAGTGTGCGGCAGTAGCCCTTAACCACACAGTGCGGGAGCTGGAGCTGTGTGGACCTGCAGGATGGGTCAGACTGCACACCCTTCGCAAGGAGCAGATGATAGAAACGCTAGAGTGCCTCCTTCAAATGGAGTGCTATTTACACACTCCGGTGAGAATGAGAGACGGACATGCTGCTGCCCAACACGATTCACTTGAATAGGAGTTTCATCTCCTTTGTTTTTGTTTTTTGTTTTCATATAGGTTCAGGATTCATATAGGTTCACTGTTGATTCCAAGCTGTGTGAACAAGCAACCTTTCAGTCAAATGAAATCAAGCGTCACATGTTTTAGTTAGCAGTAACTTGTTTTTCAAAAAGGAGGATGAGGATAGTCTTCAAGCCATGGTAAAGCTATGTATTATGCAACCATAGATTGTGTTCAGGTGAAAAGTGAGGTGTATCGCTGAGCAAATACATAATGGTTGCCCATTAGCTGGCTTCTGTGAAACTTC